CTCTCTATTTTTTCTTCTTCTTCACATTGCTGTTGCCTTCGGTTGGACCGTAGTGTCGAAACTCGACCCTACGGATCGGATCGCCTTGCTTTCGCTATGCGACGCCAGCATTAACTCTCCTGGACCAATCTTATTCGAAACAGTCTTGGTATCATGATAATACACCCCGGCGGCCCCATAGTTTGGTAATAGTATTCCAGTTTTGCCAACAATCCGGTGACCAACAACGTTGTGATTTCCGGCTTACGGTGCAGTTGGGCTCTTCGGTCAACATGCCCGGCATTGCTGGCACGTCTCCCGCCTCACTAGAGCACTTGGGCCGGCCGCTCTTCAGGGCCCACAAGGCCCTTCCCCGAAGGCCAAATGGCGATCCAAGTGTACATGTCATCCACGCGTCTCCATCTGACCCCATCGTTGACACTTCAAATGGCGGTGCTCACGCAACGGCGCCCACCCTTCCTTTAACACCCCCTGGTGCTCCTCCAGATGAATCCCCAACTCCAACAGAGCGGGAAATACAAAAGCTCGCCTCGCCGCACTCCATGTCTGGAACAGTGACACCTTCAAAACCATCGCACCCACCAACCCCCGAAACAACGCCGCCTCAACTTCCTGCCACGACGCTTCGACCGGGATTTGGCGGTCAATTCCGGCAGGCTTCTTCCTCGTCGCGTGCGGAGTCTTTCCAAACAGCATGCGAAATGATCTCCGACGGTGAGACCGAGACCCCTCACCGGTCGTCCCCATCGTCGCGTCAGTCGACCAGGCAGAGGTCACTGCAAAAGAGTGTTCAATCAGAACCCAAGAATGCCAGGCCGGAAGATACCACATCTGTCGTTGACCACTCCGATGCCCTCTTATTAAAGCCATCCCGGTACGAAGGTATTAACGGGGAATGGGCAACGGAGAACACCGACAGATTTGCTGCATCGCGTCAGAGGCGTAGGCGCTCAAGGAACCATTCCTCCGATACTCCTACCGCAAACGTGCCGGAACAGCCTCAGAATACGTATAGCACGAGTGCGCGCGACCTGGAAGTCCCACGAACACGCGAGAGGAATGTACGCGTTCGAGTCCGGGATGCGCAGGACACCGGCGCCAGTCCATATCCAGAACAGTATTCTGAAAAGATTGACTGGAATACCCCAGAAGGCCGATCGGATTCCTGCAACAACGATGATTCTCGCCGATTCTCGGGCGTATCCACTTCCTCCACAATCGAGGTGATGATTGTTGACACACCCGAGCCGTATAAACCCTCCCTTCGCCATACAGAAAAGAGGGTTTCGCTGCGTTCGACCAGCTCTCCTATCACCAGGTCAGAACGTGGATCCCTAGTCTCGAACCCAGATTCGCAGCACCGCTTGATTCACAAGGCTGCTCGTATCTCAGAAAACGATCGCAGAAGTATCGCATCGGAGATATCCATCTCTGAGAGCTCAACTCAGGGTGGCCTTCGGCAGCAGGTGGAGGTCGTTCCGGTCGTGGTGATTCCGGAGCGGCATTCATCTTTAAAATCCTCAGCCTCGACCAGCAGAAAGCCATCCAACGCCAGCTCTCAGCCATCGAGCCGCCGAACACGGACAAGATCGGGGAGCAGACCCGAGTCGCTTGATCGTCCTCCTCAAAAGAGACGTACTGTGTCAAATTCAAGTGCGCCCGCCCATCAGGACACAGACTCCCGGGGTCGCAGCATTGGTCGGCCCATTATCCCTCCACGCAGCTCGTCATTATCCGCGCCGACCAGCCAGAATAACTCACGAGCCACATCCCTTACATCAGTGAGCTCGCGCAATTACCCGTCGGCGGTGGAGACCGAAAAGCAAAACCAGCAGCCGGAGCCACCGACGCCTGAGCCTATGAAGGCACCCCAAGTATGTGACCGAGCTGATGTACTGAAGACTCAATCTATTCTTATCGGGGTAGAGGACATGGCCAATCTACGCTCACCGTCAGGGGCTTTCACGCTAGGGTCAATCCCGTCGTCATCGCCAGGACTAGTGGAGATTAATGAAGCTACCCTGGTGCCTTTCTTTCCACACAACAATGAATCTCTACTGCTGGTCGACCCACAGCACCGGTCTGGACCTCAAGGGCTCGCAATTCGGGTGGAATTCCAAGGCAGTCCGGCAAAGCCAGAATTTCCTCAAAGTCCAGGACAGGGTGAGGTAGACTCCCCACTGCAGAACCCGCGCCAGCCACCGAATCCTCCAGTGTGTAAGATCAGTCCACCCACCCCGGTGAGTGAGGCAGATCGTGAGCCTGAAAGGGGCACGGGAAATGGGGAGACGGGCGAGCAGCCCCCTCGCCGATTCGGGTCAGTTCGACGTCCGTGGAAGCTCCGACCTCGTTCTGATTCCTTTAACTCCATCGCCCGATCATTCTCGGTGACGTCGGCGAAAAACCGCATGGCAGGGAAAGATATCGACGGCAAACTCCACCCGTTCTGGAGGCCTCGTCGGTTCTGGGAAGATACATCGGAATCTGAAGACCAGTCCCCTCGCGAACAGACTTTTCGTTCTCCCGCGTTGGAGGCCGACCAAGTCATTAGCAACTCGTTGGGGATGCCTCAACAGCGGGTTGTGTTTCAAGGGCCTCCGATTTCTCCTCGCAGTATTGACTCGAAACGGTCTTCCGATGAGGCGGCTTCCCGTCGCCAGGCCCGCGACAGTCTCGTGGGCAGTCGAGTATTCATGCCTGAGGCGTTATATTCGCAGACTTCTCTTCACCAGCGACGATATCGCTCCCTCTCATGGTGGCGATTGCGGCTTCGGTTTGGTTCCGTGCGCAGCTTCCGGAAGCGCTTGAGACGCAGCTGGCAGCAGCGTGCCGAGGGCAAGCGAGAGGCCCGACGTGAGGCACTGAAGCAGAGCATTGGTGAAGCTGTCCTCGTGGACTCCAGCACGCAGACGCGGAGTATGGTGCGGTAACTTTTACGATATGATCGATGATGCACGAGTAAGACCAGCACGACACGACCAATATGATGAATGACGACCACACATGAACGATCTATGTCTCTTTTCTTGTGCTTTATTTGTTATTTCCTTTAAGATGTTGATCTTTCTGTTGCAACTATATTGATGCTTGATGAGTCACGAATGATGGACCCACGGAACACGAGCTCCAGCACGATGATTATTCGGGCGCTGTGATACTTCGCAAGATGTGTGTTCTCTGTATCATACGCCTACTTTGATGAGATTATAAATTTGCCCTTTCCGAGACTTACAAGATAACAATACACAATCATAACAGATATATATATTGACTCACGTCCCTGGAACTCCGAACCCTATATAAAAGAAACATGAACAAACAAGCAAATATCAAAATGAAGATAGAGAAGATAGAAATGGAAATCACTTCCACCTCCCCATCCTCCCCCGAACAGCCATCTCTCCAAACTCCGCCTCCCTCGCCCTCTTCCTCCTCAACTCCTCCTCCTTCTCTTTCACGTAAACGTCTCCCTCCCCGACCCCTTCGCCCTCCCTCCGCAGCCGATCCACCGCCTTCACGTTCTCCCACAACGCCGGATCCAAGAACGGCTGCGGACGGGACGAGAAATCATACTCGACAGTCGTAGGCCGAGAGTTTAGCTCCACGTGCTGATTCTCTGAGTTAGACTTGGCCTTGGATTTGGATTTAGATTTGGATTCCGCCACGGTCGATGTGGACATAGAAGTTGATGTTGAACAAATACGTATCGGCGGGAATGTACCGGTCGTGTTAGAAAGGGTGGGGTTGTTGGGGACGGCAAGAGGCCGTCTGGAGGGGACTAGAAGTGTGGAAGACGGCCGTGTGGTCTGGAAAGCCATTCTATATATATATATCTCGATTCGAGACTAGGGATATGCTATTGTACAGTGGTGTTCATCTGGTGATAGACAGAGTAAGTAGTCTACTATAGGCCGGGTTCTCAGACACAGAACTGATGTCAAGGCAGATAGTAGATAAGCACTATACCCAAACAGGAACTAGCGGACGTCCGCTCGTACAACAACTGAAAATTGAAACTGCACCACGCCACTTCTCATCCACTGCAACCAGTTTTCAAAGATCCAGTTCTTCATGTCGAGATGGGCTCCAAAACATATGAAGGCGAGGGCCAGCGAGGCGGTAGTACGAACCAACCCTATCCCACGATCTTAGTAAGAGTTGTGCTTATTTATTCCTTGTAGATGATCCGTCCCACTCAATCAGTTCCAATTCTGCTGGCGGAGAGCCGCGAGGCGCTCATTTGTCCCGGGACGGCGACGGCAGTTTGGGGGATGGCGATGGGGACGACGGTGCCGATGGAGACGATAAGGCTGGCGCCGTTGCCGCCGCCTCACTGACCGAACAACAAGCTTCGTCGGAAACGACCAGCAAGAAGAAGAAGAAACGAAGAAAGCCCAAGAAGAAAGCCTCGGCGTTAAAGCAGTCCTCGCCGCCACGGGTCCCGTTGAGTGACCTTTTCCCCACGGGCCAGTTCCCGGTCGGCGAGATCCACGAGTATGGACCCGAGGGCACGGCTCGCACAACGGCCGAGGAAGCCCGATACCTGTCTCGGAACCATCTTCAGGATGACAGTGTCCTCAACGATTATCGCAAAGCAGCAGAGATACATCGTCAGGTCCGACACTGGACGCGGGAGAACGTTCGGCCTGGCCAGACGCTCACGGAGATTGCCGTGGGCATTGAGGATGGCGTGAGAGCGCTCCTGGACAATGCTGGCCTTGAGACTGGGCAGTGTCTCCAGTCCGGATTGGGATTCCCCACGGGGCTCGCGTTGAACGATTGTGTGGCGCATTACACGCCGAACCCGGGCCAAAAGGACATCGTCTTGCAAGCAAGCGATGTGATGAAGGTGGACTTTGGGGTCCATATCAATGGCTGGATAGTAGACAGTGCGTTTACAATGTCGTTTGACCCAACTTACGACAACCTCCTTGCCGCCGTGAAGGATGCTACGAACACCGGTATCAAGGTAGCAAAGAGCCCAGGTATCTCACAGGTTAGGGCGCAGCTAACGCTTTTTAGAATGCCGGGGTCGATGTCCGTATCAGCGATGTCAGTGCTGCCATCCAGGAGGCGATGGAAAGCTATGAGGTTGAAATCGGCGGCAAAGTGTACCCTGTGAAACCGGTGCGAGATCTTAGCGGGCATGATATCAAACGCTATCAGATTCACGGTGGGAAGTCAATTCCATTTGTGAAAAATTCCAGCCAAACAAAGATGGAAGAGGGGGAGATTTTTGCCATCGAAACGTTTGGCTCCACGGGCCGTGGCTCGACAGTGGAAGGCGTACGTTTCCCCTTGCTTGCTTGATATAGGTTTACGTGCTCACGAACATGCTAGTTTGGCGTCTATGGGTATGGAAAAGACCCGAACGCACCGAAGAGGGTGACATCCCCTCTCGCCTCGGCCAGATCTCTGTACAAGACGATCAATGAAAACTTCGGCTCGATTGTCTTCTGTCGCCGTTACCTTGAACGGCTTGGAGTTGAGCGCTACTTGGCCGGTGTACGTATTTATCAGCCTGTCGATCGGAAAGTGTGCTAATCCGGGAACAGATGAACAGTCTTGTAAACAATGGGATTGTAGAGCAATACGCGCCTCTGATGGATGTGAAGGGATCATACTCGGCACAGTTTGAACATGTGAGTAAGATCTGATACTGCTATGCGGAACCAGAGCTAATCGTGCTTTGCAGACTATCTTGTTGCGAGAGTCGTGCAAGGAAGTGATCAGCCGTGGAAATGACTATTGACATCTTTTTTGCGTGCAACATCCGTGGTATAGGGAGCTGCTCCCTTGGAATCATTCCTATGCTTGACGCCATCCAACATGGCCCATGCTCGACCCTCGTTTGCAATCTAGTTTGCTGGCCATTCAACATGGTACATTGTGCCGATTAGATAGTTCTAGTAGGGGCATTTGCTACTGACAATGTTTACGTTCTGCTCTTCCTCATATATTTATCCCATGAACCATGTAGAAAATCAATCCACCCTCCGAAACCAGATCAACTCCCCATCCATCGTCGGCTCCAGATCGACACCAACTTCTCTCACGCCCTCCGGACCAAGCCTGAACTCGGCGCGCACAACCTCATAATCGCGAGGATCCTTGTACCTCTCCTGCAACCTCGCCAACCAAAACTCCCCACTGACATGCTCCATCGCAACCATCATACTAAACTCCTGACTCCGGCGATCAGCAACGAGCGCCTTCCCCCCAACATCAAGCACCAAATCCATCGCCCCATACCCAGGATGCCAATAACCCCCCGTATACTCCCACACCTCCAACGCCGGCCGCAAAACAGGACAAGGCAAGACCGGGTAAATCCGTTCCCTCGCAGAAGCCAACTCCCTCCGCCGCCGCCTCTCCATCTTCTCCCTAATCACCACTCCCCAATCCACGCGCTCCCCCACCGGCGTGCCCAGCAACCCATCCAACAAATACATATACAAAACCTGCTGCATCTGGTTACTCGTCACCGTCGAATTGCCCATGACAACCAACCCCCAGTCCCGCCCAGGCAGAAACATCATCACAGACCCAAACCCCCCAATACTCCCCGTGTGCCACACAATCGTCTGCCCCCGGTAGGAATCCACCCGCCACCCGAGCGCGTATAGATGCGGCCCCGGGAACAGATTCGTCGCTCCAGTCATGGACACCACCCGCGGCGACACAAGCGCCGCATGTCCGGCCCGGCTTAACGGCCCGCTCTGGGCCATCATGTACCGGAGCCACTTCGCATAGTCCACTACGTTGCTGATCATGCATCCGGCGCCCGATAACTCCGCATACTCGGGGTGGTCTATCTCGACGAACCCTGGGGAAGAAGGAGAAGAAGAAGAAGAAGAAGAAGAAGCATCCCAGACATATGCGCCCGCCAGCTCATCCGGTCGACTGGCCACCGCATCACGGAGCGTCCAATACGTCGCGTCCATGTGGAGCGGAGCCCAGATTCTTTCCCGGAGGAAGACGCCCAAGTCGCGGCCGGTGAGGGTTTCGATCGCGTGCGAAACGGCCGTGTACATGAAGCTGTTGTACATGTATTTGGTGCGGATGGCGGCTGTCATGGGGAGATGGCGCAGTCTTCGGACCTCGTCTTTGGGGGTGCATGAGTTGTCGGGCCGGAAATGGTACGAGTGCTCTGGGAGGCCTGTTCGGTGGGAGAGGGCGTCTTCGAGGGTGATGTGTTGGGTGGCATAGGCGTCTGGGAGGACGAAGTCGGAGCGGATTAGGGATGAGAGAGGCGTTGTCCAGGTTAGGGGTTGGGGTTGTTGGGTGGTGGTGGTGGTGGTGGTGTTGGCGGCGTCGTCGATGAGGAGGGATAGGGCTGCTGCTGTGAAGGATTTGGTGGTGCTGGCTGTGTAGTAGAGGGTTTGTGGGGTGGCTGGCGTGTTGGGGTATTTGGATATGCCGTAGCCCTGGGTTTAAGTTATTTGGTTGGTTGATGTATACAGTGGTTGAGGATGTATATATACCTTAGTGAAGGTATCCGGTCCATCGATGATGGCGATTGACGTGCCTGGGACGTGCCATTCAGCTAGGAGGGCGTTGACGAGATCGTCGAATTCGGGCGTTAGGGGAGATGTTCCGCGTTGCATGCTTGTTATATGTCGGAGAAGAGAGGCTAAGTATAGGCTGGGTAGGATTGGGACTGGGGTCAGAGGGTATTGTACATTACTTATATGATGTCCTTTGAACTTCTAAAGAATAAGCACTAGTTCGTTAGGCTACCGGCGCAGTTATATTAAAGGGAAGGTAAGGTAGTATTTATGCATATAGATTCAGACCCTCCGCTAAGGATTAGTGCTTTTAGTACCATGGCTAAGCCTCGCCGAAGAACTGCTAGTGAAGTCTTGACGGGAGGTGCTGATCGGCCAACTTGGGTAAGCTTGGGTGTACTTAATATGACATGGTATTAATAGAGGTATCTCCATAGTTGGCACTGCTAATATCATACAAAATCTAACTGATCGTACCATGGATGCACCGCTATCTTGCATACAACTACTTTGTACGTCTCTCATTCAGCCGCCAATCTTGATAATCATCTCTTCGTTAATTGTTATCATCTGAAAATCGTCCAGGTCGGTAGTCTCGAAGAGTAGTAATGCATTATTCAAACAGTTCGACCAGACTCCTCGGGTATATATACAAATACACGCAGGATATGCAGTAAGCCAGCCTTAAAACGCCAGTAATCGTGACATGGTAGCAAAACAGATGATTGTAGGACAAGGCTATGCAATACCTTGAGCCTCCATCCCTGAAATCGTAGAATATGAGTATGGTAAATCGACCAGTCCATCCAGCAGCCAATTCAATGGGTCAAAAACTTCGTAATTGGGCTCCATGAGCCCGCTGGGGAGTCCCGGGACGCTGCTACCAGACTGGACACTCAAGGTGGCTTGCGGAAGCATGGGTGCAGGTGCCAGGCTAGGATCTCCACCAATACCAGGCGTCGAGTTGGAAGTATGTGCAGCCCCAACAGATGACGCTGCAGAAGACTCGGCGTTAGAGTCTGGGTTGGTCGGGTTCTTAAGGTAGGCTGCATTGCTGATTAGTCTCTGGTTACACAGCGCGTCTGCGCTTGAAGCAAACATACCTTCGAGGTTTCGACCTTTCGTCCGCGCGTCTTCTCGCCATCGCCACACCGAGTCGAAAAGAAGCGACATACTCATGCGACACCGGACTTTCAGCATCAAGGAATCGTCCATCTCGGAGTTGTCGGTGGACGGCTTGGGAGTTGGCGTACTCTGCAACCTCCACATCTGGGCTAGAACTTCGGCAAGCCGCTCCGGCAGATCATTACTAGACACTGACACTCCCCGGATAGCCCAAATAGTCCGGTTGAAAAGAGTCTTGGTATAATCCATGTTTATGTGAGCCGCAAAAAAGCTCGTGTCAAGCTTCAGCAGCGTACAGCCTGCCGCTACCATCATCTGGTAGATGTAATACGGCGTGTAGGAGAGTGCCGGCCCAACCTCCGTTTCCAGGTTCATCGCAGCCTCCAGGAATGTTCTGGTTGCAACATACAAAGAAAGAAGACGATCACGGTAGTCCTTCTCAGTAGTATCGTCGAAAAAGACCGACAAATGTAGGTGCAGGTTGGCAGCACGAAGATAAAGATCGGTGATACCTGGGCAGATTAGTATGTTTCTCAGTCAAGTCTCCATGGGTAAGGCTCACAATCATTCTGAGCCTTCAGCTGCGACTCGAGTTCATCGAAATCCCGAGAAAAGAACGAGATCAGCGTCGATCGTTCCTGGTCATTACACAGCCCAACAGGGTCCCGGTGGTTGATATAGAGTGCTCTGGTGACCTTGTCGCAGAGCTTTTCGATCTGAAGGCGCGCACGGATACCTTCCGGCAACTTGTAGTTTGGATCTAGTGACTCGCTTGAAAGGGTCCAGTCATACAAAGTGGACGGTGGCTGCCCATACCCGGTCGCAACCCTAGATGGCGCCTGTCAGGATAAAGATGGCCCCGGAGATTTAGAGCAATGAGTGAAGACATACCGTTGAGCAACAATATTGCAGATCGCCCACGTCCTCACTTTATCTTTCAGCTCTTCTTCAATAAGCTCCACTCTGAATTTACTGAAATCTTGAGCATATGACGGGCGGTGTAGACCGAGCTGCATGGCCACCTGCATCATCATTCCACAAAGCATAAAGGTGGGATCGGTCGAGGTGCTGCTCGTGGGGAATGGCCATGTACAAAGCAAGCAGAGCGCTTTCACGACATGATAGCTTTGTGGAATGTCTGCCAGCGTACTCCATACCAGTCGCGAAACGGGGCCAGCGAGGGAGTTTAAAAGGTGAGTATCGGGCTGATAACGCCGTGCTCCAACGCTAATAATAGTCCAGAAAAGTAAGGGTGACGCATTGTAATATTCATCAGGCGACTGTCCTCGTTCAAGGAATGGAAGAAAAGGATGATAAAACGTAAAATACCTGGCAGCATTAGGACATCTCCCCAAGGCACCATCTCGCAACCGAGACTTACAAATCAAATAATTCTGTCACCCTCTCCGGCACAACGACGACATCTTCTATCCGTTTAAAGTTGTGGCTCCCGTTCCTCATATAGTTAGAACTATCGAAGCCTGACCGTAGGTCTAAAAGCGATGCAACTGCTTCGTGGGAGCCCATATACTGATCGGCAGACATGCCAGAAGGCGTGTGATAAACGCCAGCCGGACTAACATGGCTAGAAGGCTCCTGTTTGGGAGTGTGTTGGGAAGATTGTATAGACGGTGGTTGTTGGGGCATGGACGTGGTAGCATTCGCCTGGACATTGGCAATCTGCTTCCTCAGCTCGATGATCTCCCTTTCCATCTCCGCATTGCGACTGCGCTTCCCGATTCTCTTGAAGTTGGACTCGATTTTGCAATCAAGTCTCAAGCGACGACAACGGGAACAGTCCATCCATGGGTCTTGAACTACATCGCAGCGCAACTGCCATACCCAAGTATGAATTAGTCTGACCCCTGAGGGCAACAGTGTAGTCTTGAATGGTTCAGGTGCTCACCTTCTGCTGACGACATTCGTTGCAGGCACGCTTCACAGGCTGCCTTTTCTTCTCCTCACGAAGCTCGTTGTCTTCCACGTCATCGACACTGCCAGGAGAACTGTCCAACCCCGCCATGGCGACAGTGCGCTTCCTGGCTGGTCCCACGCCATCGGGCCCGCCAGTAGCCGAAGCAGAAGGATGGCTGACACCTCCCATTACGGGACTGGTGGCAGCAGGAGCATTATTCCCTGCACTTGGCTCCAGAATTTCCCCCTGCAGGCTCCCGCCTCCGATTCCGCTGGGCAGTGCTCCGAGTGACGCCAGGCTGGTTGCGGGTGAGTCGACCGATAAAGCTCGGACGGCAGAAAAAAAAAAAGGTTTTGATGTGACTAGTCACCACACAATTTCCACACAAACCCAGGAAGGACAGATAATAATAAAACAATAGGCTAATGGTACAGGGAATAAATGTCACCCCAAATAGTAATATGGATTATTCAAACTACCGTTCGCCAACTCGGTTGACTGGATGATCAGGTCCCCTCAGCGATGGATGAGTAACAACAGTGGGGGGAGGCGATTGAGAAGCTGTCCGATCTCGCTCTCACGTGGTTGCCCGCCGCACGTGATGATAACGGAGGCTTAATGAGGAGGAGATATAGTCGGACAGTCCCTTGGTTCATGTTCATGTTCTACCCTCAAAGATCCAAGGGTGGACGCAGCACTCGACGGACTCGTGGTTTTTTCTGGTCTACCTTGTCATGGTTCAAGTGACTTGACAAGTTTATTTCATGTGAAAGAGCATATGAGCCGCATTCTTCCGCCTCGCCGCATTGTAGATCCCCCCATTCCGCATCTCCTGAGATCTTATTCTTATCACATACTTCCATGCCATGGTGGAACGCCGCTAGAACAACGGGTTTGTTAGCCGACCGTCGCTAGGAACCGCTTCGTATTGTCGTCAAATCCTACCCAGTTTGCTTGGGATCAACCCCCGAAGGCACCACACATCGTATTCCCGAGGCTGTGTCGCTCATTGCCCCATGATAGGCATTAAGCCTTGCACTGCCGCTAGGAGACCATCCCAATGGTTGCAGGTCATGGAAGGAAAAGCTTGTTGATCATTGCTGCAATGCCACACTAATGGGTTGCCCGACTTCTAGAAACAATGTCTCTCCGTGGATACAGAAGTGTTCTTCATAACCCTTTATGTTGGTATCCCTAATCTTTGATTCGCTCATCCGTGGATCATCGCCCCCATTTTACTGTTTGCCCGGCGACGCATCACTAAGCCATCTTCCAAATTCTTACATCACAGGGTTCTTATATATGAGTGTAAAGATTACGTATAAAGCAGCACGACTTCTTCAAAGCTGATCGAATACCTATTTATCTTTTTTTTTTCTCCCCGCAATATGATATCTCAAGTATATGAATCTTCAGTCGTTTAAGCAAGATGAAATCGTCTCCTTCCGAAAAGCTCACAGAAGACGTCGCGGAAGTTGAACCTCCAGCGTACGATCAGGTTGATGGGCCTCCCCTAGTAATACCGCCGTTGGACTTGTTCCAAACGGTTGGTCCGCCTGTTTGTTCGACAGTCACCCAAGACCAATGTATTGCTCATCTCAAGTTCTTAGCAGCACTCGCCGATCTACGCGATAACATAACTAACATCAACGGTCTATTCAATATCAATGATCCTGACCCAGATGTTTTTGGAGCTACTACACATGAGGCATTTGCTCGTGTCAAAGAAAAGCGATGGGCTGTGTACACAGCCAGGGCCGTCGACCGCTACACGACTTGGTGGCAGAAGTGTATTCAATCCCCTCGACGGTTTCTCAAGCGCCGTGACCTGGTAGACGACAGTTATGACTTAATTACCGAGCATGCGAAATCGTACAACTGGTCTCCAAAGGCAATGCCCCCTCTAGGTGAGTGAAGCCTTGGAGCGGCCTTGATAAACCATCGCAAGTTGCTGACAGGCTTCTCGATCAGATATTCTAATGGTGTGGCATGCACATATGCTGAACCCTAGGGTCTTTCTTGAAGATTGCATTCGGGGAGGTGCCATGGACTTGTGGACAGCCGGTTTCCCGTGGGAAATTATCAACTCCTGTATCGACGATCAAACCATGGAATACAACGCTGGAGAGGCAGCGTTAGCCCAATTTCAGCAGAAAACCGGTCTGCCCTGGGACAATCTAAAGTGTTCATCGAAGAAGCCCCTCACTTGTCCTGGCTGTAAGCACGAGCTGTCCGTGCCCTGGACCGAAGCTCAGATATCTTACCCATTCGATGAGGCATTTAACAGCTGCCGTGGCCTCGCAGATAAAAATTTCCAAACGACATGTCCAGTCTGTAACTTCCAAGTCACACACGAGACCCTAAAGATCGAGAAGTTTCGGAAAGATGTTAGGGCTTTTTGGGCTTCGGACGTGCCGATG